CAAAAATTTTTTCTTTTAAAAAACAAAATTAATTTTTTATTCGAAACATACACACATACAACGGCCATTAAATATCCGATTAATTTTCGTATTTTCACAACAAATTTTCAAACAAGATTGATCTCTTTTTTCTGTGCAAGACATCTTGAATTAGGCCATAACCGGGTCGATGAATTGATCTCCCTGACGTCATAACGGACGAAATTTAATATATGCCACACATATAAAACTTAGAGACATATATAAAACTTATTTTAGTAAGAATAAATTTCTATATATATTTTTGATCACTCTTAGAAAAATATATCTAATAATAAAGAGTAAAATGTACTTTAATAAAATGTACTTTGTTTTGTAGTTCATTTTCAAACTTCTGATTCAAAGAACAATAGAAAATGGACGTTTCGACTCTTATTATTGGATCATCTTCAATGTAATTTTGAAAAAATTCAATTGTTCAAATTTAAATACATACCGATCGCTTACTATTTCGTCAATATAATAAATACAGAACTTGTCGTATTTAACTGAATACTCAAACGAATTACATTATTTGCAATATACAAACGTTTATAATTTTATTTCATTTCGAAATATATGGTATTCTTGCACACCAACAACCTGTGCTGGCTGACATTGGTTTTCTATCTTCCTACTTATTCTTTGGAGCCTTCAATCAAGATTGAAAATAGAAAACAGATTTTCATTTCTCTAATATTACTTAAATATCTGAAATATTTAAAGCTGTACATTCTTTCCCAAGAAGTACAACATAACAAAATAATATTTGAGTACTGCTTTATAGCCATTCAATATAATCATAAATTAAAAAATGTTACATTCTTGACATAAAAAAACTAGTCATCTCCAAAATCGCAAATAGTTACTTAAGTTTGCGGCACACAATGCATGTTCTCCTGGATTGCTTTTAGTAAATTGCTTTATTAGAACTTCTGCGTTCTGTGTGTTGTAATTCAAATAATTTATTAAAACGCAAGCAATCCAGGAGGAAAAAAGTATCGTGTGCCACTGGCTTTAGCTATTCTCATTCCTCCGTTTTACTCATATAATCAGAAAAAATAATTTTTGGCCAAATATACACTCAAAGATGTATTGTTATTATATGAAACTTGTTACATAATAAATTAATAAATTAATTTTTTAAGTTATGCACTTACATTATTGTAGAACTGATTGAGTCAAATTTTCTGGTACAATTGTCGCAATTTAAAAGGAAAACAGATATCGCGATGACTAGCGACAATCAGCGATTACTTTAACCTCTGACCTTCCTTATACGATTCTACGGTCGGGTGAACAAACGGCAAGATTTATGTGCGGCGAAAACCATTGAGTGCAAAACCGGCCCTTTGATCGCAATATTGCCCTTGGATTAAGCAGTAAGGTACTTGCTACAAAAACGTTGTGTTAATATGTAATTTGTAATGCCACGTCAACTCGTTTGAATATTAAAGTTTATTGTTCCTTTTTTAATCTAATCTTAGTCGTATAATCATATAAATCACGATCTGCGTAGAAATTTTAATTATCGATTCTTAGAAAATTGGGCCACAACAGTTTTCCACGCATTAGCGACGAAAATAAAAGAAAATAAAAATTATCTTATCAAAATATTAATAGCCGTTTTGTTATAAACATCTACAATATATATAAAGATTTTTATGATATAAAAGATCTTTAATCAATTTTGTGATATATATATAAGTAGCAAAATCTTATTATAAACGTTTATATATATATATATATCAGATTATATATCAGATTATAAGATAATAATAAGAGATAAACTAATTGAATTTATGTGTTAAAGAATTTTAATTTATTTCATCTTTATTTAAATCTACTTAAGCATTTCAATTTTTTTATAGAATTAACGAATAAGATAAAAAGAAAAATGACATCCTGAAGAACGGTGCAAAAGTACGTTCCGTAAAAGAAAAGAGAATTAAAGACAAACATTATGCAGTCATTTACTTATCCGTCAAGGAAAAAGTTTTCTTTAGATACAATATAATATATCTATATAATTTTAATATATTATTTTATTGTATTATAAAATTGATGTATTATGCATGATAATTTTAAATAAACGTAAATAAATCGACGTGCGTTGTTGCAATTAAAGTACGATATCAGCTTGCACGGTCAAAAGTGACTGTGTATTAGAAGAAACTTACACATTCACTACTCCTTTCAACACAGCACATCACATGTAGCGTGCACCGCACTCGATTTTGTATTTTATTTGC